TAGTGTATATATCTTGAGACATAAGTAAGAAGAAGCTCCAGAAGTGTGCTATGATCTGGGGCTCCAAAAAGTAAACTTTTTTATATATTATGACATTAAATGTTTCCCTAGCAAGGGGGAGCTTCCTAAGGCATTATGCTATGTATTTCTTTCCTTTTCTTTCTTTTGATTTAATAAAGTTTTATTTTTCCAAATGTACAGTTGGTTGGACCTATTCATGCATCTTCACCAGCAGCTGGAGCTTCTCCACCCTTGGTATTTCTACTGTAAATTCCTTGAGCTATGTACTTTAAAACCAGTTTGATAAGTCATTTGCTAAGGAACTCCTGAATGGCTGCCCTGGCCAGGAAGCCTTGAATTTCAGTCTCTCTCAGAGACCACAGCTGGGGTTATAAGTTTATAGTTGGGAACTTCCTTGCAGAGTTTGTCATAGGTAGCTTTGTCAAACAAGACAAAGTTATTGAGCTTGTCCCAAACTTTGCCTTTGGACCACTTCTTCTTTTTGACCTTGCCCCCAGATTTGTTCACTGGGTCTTTGTCTTTCTTGGCTGACTTTCCAGCGTCTTTCTTCTTTTTGTCATCCTTGGGAGACATTGCGAAGCTTAGAGAGCAGCAGCGAACACTGCAACTGTACTAAGATGTCAGAGTAAAAAAAAGCACATCATTCCTTTTTTAACTAAAAATTGCAATTTATTCAGATTTCCTTAGTTTTTACCTGGTGTCCTTTCCTGGCCCAAGATTTCATCTAGGATACCACATTTAGATTTGCTTGCCATGTCTTCTTAGGCTCCTCTTAGCTGTGATATTTTCACATAATGTCCACGTATTTGATGATCTTTGACAGTTTTGAGGAGTACTGATCAAGTATTTTTTTTATATCCCCCTCCCCTATTGGAATTTGTCTGATGCTTTTCTCATGATTAGACTAGGGTAGTGGGTTTTGGGGAGGAAGACCACAAAACTGTAGTGCCATTCTCAACATATCACATCAAGGGTACATACTGTAACATGATTTATCACTCTTAATATCATATTTTTTTTCATTTCAGCAAAAGTATAGAAATCATTATTTTTTACCCAATTAAGGAGGTCACTCTTCTTTTAGAAATGTCTAAAAATTGAGAGTTATAACAAAGACAAAATTCCACACTGCAGTTCACATTTCTTTATTTTTATTTTTTTAATTTTAATTTTTTTTATTTTTTGAGACAGAGTCTCACTCTGTTGCCCAGGCTGGAGTGCAATGGCGCAATCTTGGTTCATTGCAACCTCTGCCTCCCAGGTTCAAGTGATTCTTCTGCCTCAGCCTCCCAAGTAGCTGGGACTGCAGGCTAATTTTTGTATTTTTAGTAGAGACAGGGTTTCACCATGTTGGCCATGATGATCTCGATCTCTTGTCCTCGTGGTCCACCTGCCTTGGCCTCCCAAAGTGCTAGAATTACAGGCGTGAGCCACCGCGCCTGGCCCACATTTCTAATATAAGTTTTAAACTATTCTTGCTTTTCTTGTGGACAATTAAAAGAAATCCTTATTATTCAGCTTTAACCCATAAATTTCCTCTTCAGGATCACATTTGATGTATATCATGTCATATTTTCACTGAATTACCCTTCACTTTATGTTCAAATGAATATATTTCCCAGAATATGACCTTTTATTTTTCTTGTTAGATACCTCAGCTTTTTTCACATTTGTTTTAATATACTAGAATGAAGTTTTCACTTAGGAATAAAGATATCTTCTGCAGTCATTACCTATGTTTGCATGAATTCTTTACTTTAAAATTAAATGATGGCTTTTTATAGAATAATGAAGTATTTTTCTTTTATTACCAGGTTTTGTGGCACTTGGATATCTTCTGATGTAGCTTTAGGGAGCTTACAACTCACAAGTGCATGGGAGATTCCTGCATCTTTTCTGCTCTCAAAGTAACTACTTCCAATTAGTTTCTTCTCACTACCATTGGGTTGCCAAATGGTCAACATCGAGGTGGTTTGGTTAATCAGGATGATGCTAAAGAATTTGTTACTGAATTATCTACCTGTGGTTTAGTGTAAAAATGGACATGATTGGTTTGCTTGTTTCAAAGAATTGGTACTTGGCATGGGTAGTCTCTTTTACTGAACATTTTTGCTTGTGCAACTCTATTTGATGTGATAGGATATTATGCAAGTATGCTTCTACTTTTTTGGGGGCGGGGGATGGGGCCTCACTGTCGCCCAGGCTGGAGTGCATTGGTGCTATCTCGGCTCACTGCAACCTCCGCCTCCTGGGTTCAAGCAATTCTCCAGTCTCAGCTTCCTGAGTAGCTGGGATTATAGGTGCATGCCACAATGCCTGCTTAATTTTTTTTTCTTTGAGACAGAGTCTCACTCTGTCGCCAGGCGCCAGGCTGGAGTGCAATGGCACGATCTCGGCTCATTGCAACATCTGCCTCCCTGGTTCAAGCAACTCTCCTGCTTTAGCCTCCCAAGTAGCTGGTACTACAGGCGCATGCCACCACACCCAGCTAATTTTTTATTTTAGTAGAGACAGGGTTTCACTATGTTGGCCAGGATGGTCTTGATCTGTTTACCTTGTGATCTGCCCACCTAGGCCTCCCAAAGTGCTGGGATTACAGGCATGAGCCACCACACCCAGCCGATTTTTGTATTTGTAGTAGAGACGGGGTTTTGCCATTTTGGCCAGGCTGGTCTCGAACTTCTGACTTCGCGTGATCTGCCTACCTCAGCCTCCCAAAGTGCTGGGATTAGAGGCGTGAGCCACCGCACCCAGCCTACTTCTGCTTTGAGTATTTATTTGAAAGGCTAATTCTAAATTTTCAATTTAAATGAAGCAACTAGGTGATTTTAGGGAATTAACTTTGTTTGTTAAAGCTAAGTTTAGCAATAAACTCTTCCTATTGATAAATGCCAGTAAAACAGATGAGGTGGCACATACCTGTAATCCCAGCCTTTGGGAGGTCAAGGTGGGAGGATCGCTTGAGCCTAAGAGTTAAAAGCTGCAGTGAGTTATCATTACACCACTGCACTCCAGCCTGGGCAACAGAGTGGTACCCTGGCTCAAAGAAAAGAAAAAAGAAAAAAAAAGGAAAAGAAAAGAGAAAAATGTCAGTACTAAAATCTTCCTATTCCCTAGTTTCCCATTACTACATTTACTTGATTCTTTTATATTAGCTCTCTACCCCATGTATTGTTTAGCTTCAAGTTTTTCGTTTCTGTTTTTTTCTTCCTCACCTGTCTCCAAGTTTTTCATTTCTGAATATAATCAAAGCAGAGATTTCTTTAGAGCAAAGAAAATGGCCTAAAGTGAGAGATTTCTGACTTGGAGATTTTAGGTATGTGAAAGAGAAAGAACTATGATGTGTAAAGGGGTAATTCCAACATACAGTTTCCCTGTATTTTCTTGGTCCAGATATATAATGGATTATTTCTATGTGGATGAGTCTGTCTAATTTCTGAGTAAGATTCCACAGTCATTTTTGGTTTCATAAAGTTTGAATTCTTGGTTTGTTACAGGGTTGCTTGGATGTGATTGTTATATGTTTAATTTTTAATAGTTGCTTTTACATCCTGAAATAGGAATTGTGACTAAAAACTTTAGGAGATTTTCTCAGTTATATATATAGAGAGAGATGCAATCTTACTAGTTTCCCAGGTTGGTCCTGATCCTGGGCTCAAGGGTAGCTGGGATTACAGGTTCATGCCACCACACCCAACTCACTTTGGAGATTTAAGTCCATGATAGGCAATACTTTTTTTTTTTTTTTTTGAGATGGAGTTTCACTCTTGTTGCCCAGGCTGGAGTGCAATGGCGCCATCTCATCTCACTGAAACCTCTGCCTCCCAGGTTCAAGCAATTCTCCTGCCTCAGCCTCCCAAGTAGCCAGGATTACAGGCGTGTAACACCATGCCCAGCTAATTTTTGTATTTTTAGGAGAGATGGGGTTTCACCATGTTGACCAGGATGGTCTTGATCTCTTGACCTCAGGTGATCCACCCACCTCAGCCTTCCAAAGTGCTGGGATTACAGGCGTGAGCCACCACGCCCAGCGTTGGTATTTCTTTGTGTGAATAAACCACTGCTGGTGGTCCCTTCTGCCAAATGACTACCAAACCTTGGTATTCATTTGGATTGTTTCTTTTTTTTATTTTTATGAACAGTATTACTAAGAACATTTTGTACATGTTTATGTATGTGTACAGATTTCTTTTGTACACATGCTCAGGACTAGGATTGCTAGAGCATAGAATATGTATGTCTTCAACCTTTTTAGATGATGCCATTTGTTTTGCAATGTGATGATATTCATGTATACTGTGATGAGCAGGCTTATTTTGGAAGTTGAGAAAAGACAGTTCTGAAATTTACATAACAAACAGGGAAAAATAGGACACTACTGAAAAATAACAATAAAGTGAATGACTACAGAGTGAGTAGGCTAAGTTATTATTTATTTATTTATTTGAAATAGGATCTAGTTCTGTTGCCCAGGCTGGGGTATATCTTTCTAGAAAGATGAATGCATCTGCCTACATGGGGACAAACAATGTGCGTAGGACATTAGGAAAACTGACACGCTCTAAGTAAATCCTAATCACGGACATTTAGGAAAGTACATATAAAGTACATTTCATTTGTTCCTTTTTGTTTCCTATGGCATCAATGGTCTCAAAATATAGTGGTCCAATAAAGTGTTAATGAGAAATAGATATTTTTTCAAGAGCCTAACTTAAGCAACCATGTTTGATGGAGGAAACTTATTTTTATCCTTAGTAACACATTCGGGATGGTCTGGAATTGTGTTGTTGTTGTTGTTGTTATTGTTGTTGTTTTCCCAGAGAACCAGAGGAGGAAAACAGAGCTTCGTTCCTGAGGGAGAAAAACATGAGGTTGGAAGAATTTACACACCTTTCCACAGCCTTACCTTCGAGAAGTTTTCTTTCTTCAAATTGTTTCCCTCATATCCTGAAGAGAAGAAAACATTCTTCTATTTCCAGCCCTTGTATGGCAGGAAAGAGTTCCTAGAGAGAGAAGACAAAGACGGTCTGTGTTGCAAAAGAAGCCCCAGGCTGAAGACTGGAGATCTGAATGTGCTACTTGCAAGGGAACTGGAGACAATGAAAATCGTGTCAGGTAAGTTGGATGCTAAAAGTTTGTCTGGAGTGCATGAAGGCTCCATGTTTATGATTTGCTCATCACACGAAAAATGGAAAACCAAATGGCAGGGTAGGACCTTCCTTAAAATATGATTTAGTGGAAAGAGTCCTTCAGAAACAGATTTCATCCACTGATAAACCTCCCACACACGGCTACACTCTGGACTTAGGTGTCCATAAGAGTGAGAATCTGCATTTTTAACACCGGG